ATGTGAAAGATCTATATCCTGAAAACTACTGAATGCTGATAGAAAAATAAAAGCAGAAATAAAGAGATAGGCCATACTGTGTTCATGAACTGGAACACTCAATATTCTGAAGATGTCCTCCTAAATGAATCTATAGATACAATGCAATCCCACTCAAAATCCCAGCAGGATTTTTTGTAGATCTCTGCAACTTACATGAAAAGGCAAAGGAACTAGGAGCCGTAATGAGTTTGGAAAGGAATAAAAGCGGAGGACTTATACTACCTGCTTTCAAAATTCATTATAAAGTCACAGTATCAAGACAGCGTAGTGGTGGTATAAAGTAGGTATTAAGATCAATGGCATAAAACTGGTAATCCAAAAATAAACCTTTGATTATACCTTACTGATTATCAACAAAATATCAAGACAACTCAAGAGGGAAAAAAATAGTCTTTTCAACAAATGGTGCTGAAAGAACTGGAATTCCATATGCTATGAAAAAAAATTGCTTGACTCACAGTTTACATGTTACACAAAAATTAACCCAAAATGAATCCTACATCTAAATGTAAAACACAGAACTGTGAAGAAAATATAGTAGAAAACTTCCAGAAGAAAAGACTAATAAATTGGTTTACCAAAGTTTAAAAACTTTTGCCCTAACAAAGACACTGCTATGGGAATAAAAAGATCGGCACAGGATGAGAGAATGTCTCTGAAAATCGTTTCTGACATAAGACATATATCCAGATTATGTAGTATTAGTATTAGTCACTCAGTCATGTCTGACTCTTTGTGACCCAGTAGACTGTAGCCCTCAGGCTCCTCTGTCCATTGAATTCTCCAGGCAAGAACACTGGAGTGGGCTGCCATTTCGTTCTCCAGGGGATCTTCCTGACCCAGGGATTGAACTCTGGTCTCCCGCATTGCAGGCAGATTCTTTACCATCTGAGCCACTAGGGAAGCCCAGATTGGGTAAAGAACTCTCAAAACTCAATAAGAAAACAAACAATCCAATAGAAATAGGTAATCAAAATTACCTGTGCATAGCACTTCTATTTTATAAATTTTATTTGAATTTGCATATTTTTCCCAGCTAGTAATCAGACTAAACTCAACTTCTCTCTAATTTTTTATACTATATTGCTTTGATTTTGGAATTATGCTTTTGATCTCTGTTAACCTTTGGGCACTTCAAACTGGCCTTAAAAACAATTCTATTAATTTTCTTTGAACTCAGAAGATAATTTGCATGCACAACTTTAATAAAGAGACTATTTTTTCCTATCAAATAAAACTAGCTCTTTTCACACACACCCAAATGAGTTATAACATTGGGACATCAAGACTTTACACTGTCACCTTTTAAATAATGAACCCTGAGTATGAATCATTTTTAATCACCCTACTTCTTTCTTCCCCTGCTACCAAATCTGAACAATTATGGAACACAATGATGAAAGAAATGACCCTTATTTTCCCTTTGCTCATATTTCTTCACTTATTTCGTCACCTGGCACCATGTTCTGTAAGTCATTAAAAATCACGTTTTGGGGATAATGTGAGGTATAGCAAACAAAGAGATTCTGCATGAAAGAAATTCTTTAAGATCAAGTTATTCAATATATAATCCTCTTCCTCCACCTGAAAGTCTTTTTTCCCAACACCATATCTGCACAAGCCGTATTTCTCTGCTGGAAACCAGAGAGACACTAAACCTTGATGATTTCCAGCACTGTACACAGCTTGTTGCCAACTACTCCTGCAGTCTTCCCATAACTTATTTTTCATTATAGGACTTCTCATCACCTGACACAGGAGACTAAACAAATATATCTCCTTCCAGCAAAGTGTGAGCTCCATGAGAACGGAGCCTATGTCCTTCTCATATACTTTTTTCTTTTTTATCCCCAGAGCAGGGTCTGCCTTACAGTGGGTGTTCAATAAATATGTGTGAATGAATTGACTGCCCAAGGCATCTCTCTATTTCATCCCCTCACACTCTTTCAGGGATCCTGGGCAGGACTGCTGATGGAAACAACAAAATATGCTGCCTTCCACTCCCTCCTTTCTTCCAGGATTAGTGACTAGATCTCTCTGCCAAGTTCTATGCTAAGTAGATACTGAGGATGAAGGATCATGAGAAGTAGCACCCTGGTGGCCCAATCTAACACCAAACGCCCACTGTGTCCACCATGTCAAATGAAACAAACAGCAGCTCACTTGAAGCTTCAAAGAAAACAGGTGAAATGCTCCAAAAGAAGTGGAGAGTAGAGGCTGGTTTCCTACTGAACAGAGTTATAAAGTATCTACTCACTGGGCTATCATCAGGAGAATCGTTCTCTAATCCAGGACCTACCACCAGCTGCATCTTCACCAAATACCAGCTGTTAGTTAGAAGACAGGTAGCAACACTGAAAAGTCATGATTGAGAGCAGATGGTCCCAATATGGGATGAGGAGAGGGTGACAGGGTGCTGGGGGGTGGGAGGCACAGCAGAACCAGCTATGAGGCTTTTTCTAACTACACTAGCCCCTCCCTAAACTCCTCCACCCTAAGCCACCCCACAGTTACCCCCATAGAGTGAGCCACCGGTGCCGTCACTATGAAAGTATGAAAGATTCAAACACTTCACCAGGTTCTAAGCGCAAGTTCTTTGAGGGATGGGACCGAGATTTAGGCTTCTTAGTGATGGCCAGAGTGGTTCTCCTGTCTCTACCTGCGCCTCCAACCTCAGCCCCTTCCCTCCCTCAGCCACACCCTAGACGCCTCCTATTGTCCTGAGCTTCTCCTGTCTGCCCACAAGGCCATGTCTTTCATCATCTGTCACCACCTCTGGGAGACTCGGATGACTGCCTACCTAACAGCCTGACAGGCAGTTTCACTTTCTGCCTGGCTAACAGAATTCTGATTTTCAGATATGGGCACTGATGTGCTCAGGGAAGGTGACCCTCCTCCAGCTCCAGAGCACAGCTTGGCCACAACAATCACAGCCACCCTCACCTCCTTTTCCATTGATGGTTGAGCAAGGACATATGACCATTCTGGCGAACAACATAGGGAACTTGAGAAATTATGACTTTCGTTGTCTAGATAATCACTGAGAAGCAAGCCCTCTCTGTCCCTTTTTGTTTTAGATGTTAGCATGTGAAGGCATGACAGAGCTCTAATCACCCTGTGGCAGGGCAGAAACCTAGAGAATCTTCAAGAAGCCAACCCAAAACTGTGGCTGTTTTGAACCACCCACCTCTAGACTTCTTAAGCAAACAGTCACATAACCTAAACAATGTTACCTACAACAGAGAGTACCCACCACTTGGCCTGGGAAGTCCCTCCAACTTTTCCTCCTAGAGCAGCTCTACTTATCTCTGATTCAGAGCTCAACTAGTTTCCTTGGGAAGGCTTTGGTTGTCCCCAGATAGTTAAACAGTCACAGACTCTGTTATCTGCACATCTGCCTCTCCAACTAAACTGTGAAATTCTAAAAAGCAAACATTTTCACCCTTGGCAGAGGCCCTGCCATACACTGGGCACTTACTAAATGCTGAATGAATGAATGAACCAACAAGCAAACAACAAAATAAGACATCAAAGGATGAATATGCAGGACGCCTTCCACGCCTTGGATAAGCCTTGACAACTGGCAGATGGAATATGGCATACAGGCTGTCTACATTCTACCAAAGACTTCCTTTAGGTGGTGGTGAGCAAAGGCTGAGACTATACAATGAACAAGTCCTATTTTTATCTGCCTGGAAGTCAGACATCTCATTGGAAACTATCCTTGCCCAAACCCGGGCAGCTGGGGTGGAGCTGTCTATCATAGTGGCACCTGAGCTAAGTACCCACTCTTATGGTGAAAACCACTCCCTGTCCATGGAGATGGCTTGGCCCAGTTTTAGTTTAGTATATCGGTAAGACCTGCTGTTAGGATGGAGGAGATGGAAGAAGAGAAAGACATCCCCCCTACCCCTCCCACAAAGGAACAGATAAGCCTGAAGGTGCCAGTACTTTTTATCACTCCATACTAAGAAGCAGTCAACACGGGGGCGGGAAAGAGCTAAGATATGTACGAGAGAGAAAGAAAGCCATGCCACCTTATGTGTGCCATGGATCAAGCTATGCCTGCAGATGTAACGCTCAGCCTTTTCATTTATGTGACCCAATCAATTTCAATATAGCATGAGGCAATTTTCAAGTGACTAAAACACAACCCAAAGAAAAGAATTCTGACAAATACAGTCAATAATATTGAAAGCAAACTGTTACCATCCCTTTTACATTCAGGACCTATGCACTGTCACTTCTCAAAACTGGGCTTCTAGGATGGTGGTGGGAACTAAGATAGCCTGGAGGAGGCCTAGCCATGAACAAAACACACACCATCATCACCGCCTTTCCTCCTAAAAGAGGGTAATCTGAACCTCCTCTGTCTCTTCTGTTCAGAAATGAATTTGAACCTCTGGGAGGCACAAACTGTTACATTAACTAGATACAGGAAAAAATGGAGAGAATTCTCATCAAGCAACCTACTATGGATTTTACAAATATCTTACAACTTAACTGTTCTGATTATTATAATACCCTTCTTATCTCTGAGCAAACAGAATCAGCAAAATTAAGTAACTTGCTCGAGGTCATACAGCTAGTAACTAGAATTTAAATTCTATACTTTTTCCACTTTATCACTCTGATGGCCAGGGCCTGGGAGATGGAGCGCAACCCTCCGCCTCCACCCTAACACCGACAGCGCCCCAGGACACACAGACCTGGATGGACCCTGACAACCTCGGCCCCCTGCAGTCAGAGCAGCCTCGCATACCCAATTTTTTTGGAAGCCGCAGGTAACTAACCCAGGTGTCTGCTGGATTCTCAACACCAGTGCCAGAAGTAAAGACCCAGGCAGAAGGAGCAGCGGCACCTGCGCGGGCCCGGGAAGCGCCGCAGAGGGAGAGGCGGGGGCTCGCTCCGGGCTCCCCCGAGGCCAGAACCCCCGCCCAGCTCCGCGCTCTCCGCAGCAGCCGGCCCCCCTGCTCTCCCAACCAGCGCCCTGCAAACCCTGCCTCCGCGCCGCCTGGGCCGCTCAGAGACCCGCGCAGCCCCGATCCTGTCCCCGCGCCCACCCCAGCCCGGGTCCCGGGCAGATATTCGCAGCTGTTCGCCCCCAGGCAGCGACGCGACCCCGACCGCTCAGCTGTGCCGCGCCCCCGGCGCGCCGGGCAGAGGCGCCCGCATCGCCCACCGCGGCCGCGCAGGGACCAGGCTGGCGGCCCACCGCCCCCAGCGCGCTGCGCCTGTCCCGCTCACCTGCGCCGCGGCGCTCGCCGGGCCTCCGCGCGCCAGCCCGGCTCCCGGCTCTGATCCCAGTCCTAGCGCAGAGCGCGCTCGCGGCGGGCCGGCCTTGGTGTGGCCGCGCAGGGAGGGACGGGGCGGGTGCGGCTCCTCCCCGCCCCGAGCCACCTGGGGCGCCCGGGAAGGGGCGGGGCAGGGCCGGGACAGGTGGGCCCCGCCCGCTGCCGGCAGCCCGGGACGTGGGCTCCTTGGAGATCCTCCGCGGGGTGGAAGGGGGGCCCGGGCGGCCGCGTAATAAGTGACACCTGGGACAGTTAGTGCTTGGGAGGGGCGGGGAGCCAGGACCCGGCCCTTTTCCACACAGCCTGGCCCACTGGGGAAATGGATCACGGAGCGTGGGAGCCGGAACCCCCTAAACATGAAAAGGAGAGGCCAATCCTTCTCTTGGGGGCTGTAGAAATCAAGAACCAAGAGCCTCAGGGTGAGATTGATGGGAGCCAAGGGCAAGTTCAGAACTGGAAGAGCTCAGAGAGGCCTTTTCTAACCATTCTGCCCTCCCATCCCCACTTCAAATGATTCTCCCCCCTTTTAAAATAATGGCTTTAAACTATAAATAAGGTCATTTCAGAGAGTGATGTCCTCCCCACCTGGAGACTGTAAGCCCCAGGTGGGGCAGCAAACTCTCTCGTCCATGATGAGTCATTAAGAGGTGAACAAGCCAAGGGCAGAGCAGGTGCTCAGTTAATGGCTGATGAATAGCCGAGGCGGGACCAGCCTCTCACTGGCCCCCCAGGCCAGAGTCTGCCCCAGCGGCCCCCTCCCACTTTGTCAGAGAGCCCAGAGCCGGGCTGCCTGGCTTCCAGACCACCCATCCTCTCGGTACTGCTTACCTCCCTGCCGGTGCCGGCCCAGAAGCTGACCTGTGGGAGGTCCGCAAAGGTCTTCGGGCCACCTTTGGAAGCTGTCGAGAAAATCTTTACCCCCTGAAGACGTTACAGGCAGAGGAACTCGGACATACAAGGCTGTCTTGCCAGGCCCGCCCTGTTCAGGCACAGCCCAGAGTTTGGGCGACTGACCTGACATCCCACAGCTGATAGCTGAGCTGAGTCGGGGGGCCCCGATGGGCTACAGAGACCTGTGGATGGAAAGTCTTGACCTTCTGCAGAAATGGGGCTTGGGTTTGCTCTGAGTTCTCTAATCCATGGCCTTTCCCGGCTTCTCAAAGGTCAGGTGTGACCTGAGCCATTTGTATTTACTGAGGCCCTGACAGTTTCAAAAACAAAGACATGTCAGAATAGGATAGAAATAATGTGGTATATTTCTTAAGTGTTTCATTGAACAAATGAATAGTCTTCTCACACACAAACACACAGGAGATGATGTGTGATGCTGCTACTAACATGGTAATTTCCAGACTCATTAAAGAAATCCATTTCAAGCCCACTACAGGAAACACTGTACAACTTTAAAGTTGTATAGAGACTATTCCTCCCTGTAACTGTTTCAATATTCTTCAATGACTGAACATTAAACCTCAGAAGCCATAACTGGAGGCTGTTAAGATGAGGTCAAGGCCACCCCTCCCCGGAACAATAAGCTCAACACTCTCAAGGCTTGGACCCCATGTCCCTGCATCAGTGAGTCCCGCACAGATGGGTGTTTAAGATGTGGTATAGCCTGGCTGGCCACTTCACCCTGGGCAAGCCCAACCCAGAAAAAAGTCACAGAGGATGTCCCAGCCAGTGGGTCCTCCCCCAGCTGCACTCCCTCCGTGGTGGGTGGGGAGGCTGGTGTCCCTCCCGGGACTGTGAATGGTCCTGCCTTGGGACAGCCACTGGCCCTAGTAGGTGAGGCTGAACCCAGGAATCCCTCTGGGTCTCACCCACGTGACATGGACCCAGCCCTTCTTGCATGTCGGTTTCAGTCAGTGGAGCGTGTGATCCCCTGTGATTTAGGATCCTCCCACTGTGTGTGTGATCTTGGCTGGGCCAACCTGGTAGGTGATGCCACCGGGCTAACCTGAGAATCATCAGGAAAGTAAATGCAAGTTGTACTCTGGTGTTCCTGTTCTCTTTCTCTCCCCTCTGGGCTTGCTGAGGAGCTCTAGGCATCTTCCTCAGTTATGCGTTTCTCCTACTTGGGAAATGTGTATGCATGAAATCAGATGTGCTTTCTGCCTGAAATTCTTTACTTGAAAGGGGTATCCAAAATATGACAAGCTGATACCATTGTAAGGTTAAATGAAAGAAGGTACATGAGCACAGGGCCCACACACAGCACCTGCTCAATAAATGGTGCTCATCCTGGCAGTGCCAAGAGAGCCAGCTGATATCTGCTAGCCATTATAGTGCTGAAAAGAAAGACCAGACCATTGATGGACTCCTGGAGAATCTAAACTAAATTAATCCTTGCGAATAGCTGTGATCCCCAGGAAAATGATATCTGAACTAGGAAATCTTCAGGTTCTTTTCCATCTCTAGATCTTTGATAGTATAATAGAAGAGAAACTATCCAAGGAGGAAATAATTCCAATTTTCTGAACCTTGAGATATATTTACCTTCCTAATTTTTCCTACTTTTACATAGCACTCAGTATGTACATTAACATGTACACCATTTTCTGTGCGCGTTTTTCAAAGAAACAATGCATATAAAGTACCTAGCATAATTCCCAGCACATAATAACTGCTCGATTAATTACAACTAACATGGGAGAGGTGTTGAAGTGATCAGAATTACTAGGATCTGAAAGAACCATGGATTCAAGCAGGCAAATCTGAGAATCAGTTTAATAGGTAATCTAGAATTTTAAGTTCACTGGTTCTGGAATCAGACCATTTAGGGTAAAATCCAGTCATGGTTTATGAATCTCACTATGCTCCAACTTCCTCATCTATAAAATGAAGATAATACTAGTATATCATAGGAAGAAGCTGGAGACATGAAAAGAATAGCTAACCTTCAGCGAGCAGCTACTCTGTGCTGGTCATGATGTTAGTTAGGTGCTTAGATTTTCTTCTGACAGTTGACTTCAGAGTGGGAATTCATCAAGAAATTACAAACCTTGAACCTGAACTCAGTATTCTATGTTTTACAGCTTTTCCTTAAGAAAGCACCCACAACTGTCCTTATATTTGCAAAAAGTCTTGGGTTTCAAACAGTTAGGAATCACTGACTTCCAAACTTAGCCAGCGGTTTTAGGACTGGAAGACTTGTGAGCGCTCCTTGAGAAGGAGGTTCACCAGGAGGCCTGCTCAAGGTGCAAATCACTACGCCTGAGAAGTCTGATTCAGGAGGGCCGAGAGGTTGTGGGATAAGCAGTTCAGGTGCTACTTACCAACAGGTGAGCCTAGGAAACTGAGAGCATCCAACCTTCTCATCTCTCAGAAGCCCCAGGGATCAGCTCACTTGGAATCACCTTCCAGCCCACATCTGCCAAGCAGCCAAACCCTCACCCCACCCAAACCAAGGGAAAGAAATGTTTCTCCCTGCACAACCCAGCTTTGCACAAGGAGCACTCAGCGAACAAAACAGCCTTCTTTCACAAGGAAAATAACATGTGCAACTACCTGAGGGCTAGCCCTTTAAATCTTAAAGGATCCTAAACCTGTCTTGCCAGGACAACCCCCTCCAGCACCCACATCCCTCAGTCCAGCCATCCCCCTCCACACAAGTCGTATCTAGCGCTACTATTTGAACAGCTGAGGCTATTCAGCTAACACTTCCAAGTGACATCCTACAAAAATGTCGATGTTTTGTCCCATTTCCTAAAGCCACAGGCTAATCAGACTCTGAAACAGAGGACTTCAGTCTGGTGCCATTTCAGTGTGTGAGGCCCACAGGGGACATGCTTCTTTGGGGGCTGATCTTGGCAAGCACTAAGTGTGAAGCAAGAACAGGGCAGGCGGCAGCTGCAGCAAGAGTGGCTATGTTTTAGGAATGCCCAAAAAGGTCAGCCCAACAAGGATCAGACAAAACCCACAATATTCTCGTCCTGACCGGTGAGCTTCTCTCCGTGCTTACCAAGGGCAGCCAAGGATGCATGCATGTCTTCACCATGCATGTCTTTCACCAATTACAAAGTCCTGATGTAGCAAAAAGTTGAAATAACCTTCCCAAAGTGAGCTGAGCACACCTCTCAAATACAAGGCAAGCAGGAAAAATCTCCCACATGGCTGGCTGTGGCTGAGCCATTTCCCGGAGAACACTGTACAAAGACGCAGCTGGCCCCTCGGGCCTGTGCTAGACCCTGAGGCTGGGCAGCAAATCAGCTCTTCCATATTTGTCCCTCAGTATTATCTTATACCCTCTGGAGGACTGTGGATCACTGTGAATCCGCTTGGCTGTCTAAAACGTATCAGCCGGGGAATGAGCTTGCCCCCTTTGGCTTGGTTTCAGAGCGAGCACTGAAGCGTGGACCACAAATACATGTGTCTGCTTACAGAGTTGTTGGCTACAAAAATGCCCAAATGCCTCTGTTGTTGTATTTGTAAACTAAGCAAAGAGGATCTTGATTATTCTAAATTTACTTCTTACTTCTGAAGTTGACACAAACATACTTATCTTTTTAATTTGCTAAATTAGGAACTGAAATACCAGTGTGGAGAAAATTCTTAGTGTAAAATCAGAATTCTAGTACCATGAACACACCAAGCAAAATCTGCTTCAGGACCTTTACACTTACTGTTTCTTCTGTTTGGATTTGTCTCCAGATCTTTGCAAGGCTGGCTCCTTCCCTCATGCACAGAACCGTCCTTGACCCCCAAGCCATGTAGTATCACAACACCCTGTTCTGTTTTCTTCATAGCATTTAAATGTACCAAATCATTTTAGAAAGTGCTGTTCACTGGTTTATAATGGACCTCTAAGAAAATGAAGATTTTTGTGTCATATACCACCTCTGTCCAGCTCTGAAAACAATGCTGAGTACAAAGTAGGTGCTTAAATCTTTGCAGAAAACTTGATGAATGCTCACATTTTTGCAGCAGGCTCTGAGTACATCGCACGGAGGTGTCAGCTGCTCCTGTATGTTGCTCCTACAAAGATGCTTCTGGGTTGTAGGCTCTTAGCACTAGCTATAATTGCTGGGAATCTGAATAGACTTGACTCATGATCTAGTGTCAGGACATTGCATGAGGAGTATTTACAGGAGTCCTAGGAACAGCCGCCAGGCACAGAGATAGAAACTAGCCTCAAAACCCCCTCACTGCAGTTCTCAGGAGGTTCTCTCCCCATGAAATAGCCTAAGAGCAGACTTTCCCCAAAAGAAAAAGATGGTGGAGCAGTAGGAAAAGC